GACTGGGTGCACTGGGGCGGGGGACTTCTGCACACCTGTCTGCGTGAGTATAGCAGAGCTAGGCGTACGGGGAGACACAAAACCAAAACGAGGTGGCGCTGCTGGGGATGTTAACTACTGATGCTTCTGAGCTGTTTCCTGTGCGTGTGGTTACGTCGTTATTTAAAAAGTGGTCTTCGGGTACCTGGGCGAGGTGAGCGGTGACGCAGTAGGGGGCCCAGCACGAGCTGGGTGCACTGGGGCGGGGGACTTCTGCACACCTGTCTGCGTGAGTATAGCAGAGCTAGGCGTACGGGGAGACACTAAACCTTAACGAGGTGGCGCTGCTGGGGATGTTAACTACTGATGCTTCTGAGCTGTTTCCTGTGCGTGTGGTTACGTCGTTATTTAAAAAGTGGTCTTCGGGTACCTGGGCGAGGTGAGCGGTGACGCAGTAGGGGGAGCCCAGCACGAGGTGATAAGACATTTACTCTCAGATTTCTCCCCCGGGTTGTCACCTGCTCTCCATTTGAATTTAGACAAGTCCTTTAACGACTGTGGATTACCATTTTTTCCTATACGATAATCCCCCTTTTACTCATGGTTTCAGTTATCTGCGGTCAACCGCTGTCCGGTTGAATATTGAATGGAAAATTCCAGAAATATACAATCTGTTTTACAGTGCTTGTTATTGTGAGTATAAAAAGGAATGAGATGAGAATGAATGAGATGAAATCTTACCTCTTCCAGCCAGGGGAATTAACCATCCCCCTGTCCAGCATGTCATCACCCCCTGCCCATTAGTTCCTCAGCAGCTGTCTTGGTGATCAGATCAGCTGCCTGATACCTGAGTGCTTGTGTTCAAGTCACCCTTATTTTACTTAATTATGGCTCCAGAGCACAAGAGCTGTGATGCTGGCAGTGCACATGTGCCAAAGAGAAGCTGTCAAGTGCTGCTTTGAAGCGGGAAGGTGTATCTGTGTAGGACGAGATGATGTCCGTAGGGATCGATACTCTCCACAGTTCCAGGTCTCTACAGGGGGTCTTGGAACATGTGCCCCGCGGAGAAGGGGAGACAACTGTGTATCAAGGGCCTTAAAGTGAATCGCGAAGGCTACTCCAGTACAGAAGACCCGTTTCTCTCTTGCAGAGTCGGAGGGATCCCATAGCGTTCACAATAGCACTCACGAATTGCTCATTCAGTTGAACTAAAGCTGATGAAAATTTTTGTGAACCAGCAAAGCCAGAAGATTCTTTGGTAGTGCATTTCCTGCGTTTCTCTTAACAGGCAGCAGAAAGTTTCTGCTTGCTCAGAGAACTTGCTTACTGTCCTGACCTAGGGACATTAGAATGTGATTGACATGTCCTCATTGCTTAGAGGTTATGTTTCAGAAGTTCTGGAAAGGAAATTCTGAAGCTGCTTCCCACTAGTCTCTTAACTTAGCATCTCCTTGTCAGTGCGTTAGAAGTAAGCTGTTTCTCTCATCACGTCCCCTGTCCTAATTCTGCTGTTGACGCAGTACCAGTACGTTTAGCGGTCAGCCTGCAGGAAGTGCCGTCAGGTCTCTGGGTTTTCATAACGTAATCCGAATGTTTCCTATCTGCTTCCGTGTCTCCATCCTTCAAAAGCTGTCTCTGTGAAATCGTATTATCAAGAAAGAGGGTTTTGTTTTTTTTTTCTAGTTTATTTTTCGTTCTGGAACTACATAAAGCAATAGAAATTACAGCTGAAAATCCATGGAAATTGTTAAATATGCAAAGCATAGAAATGCCTTTTGGTTTTGTGGAGTCCTTTCATTCTCTGACCCATCCAGCTGTCATCCATTAGCGTCGTGCACGGCGAATGTGTTCAGATAGAAGGATTGCTCTTCCTTTCTCTGTTCCAGTCAGAGGGAGAGAAGAGGTGGGTAAGAAAGGGGCAAACAGGCAGGAAACAGGGCTGCCAGGGAAGAAGCAAACAACTCAGGCCGGGCCTCTCCCAGCTTGAGGGAATTTTGTGCACAAATAAAATTAGCATCGTATGAAAGGGCCCTTTGCTCAAATGCTTTGTTTTTCTAAAAGGAGCTGACTGCTGAGACCTCTTTCCTGGTCCACCTTGGAGAAATGTCTACTTAGTTTATTTGGCGAGCACCAAGATGGGTGCCATTTTACATGACGTTAAACTCCGTGGTTTATGTATGTGGGTTATTAAGAAAAATTTAAAACATATGTAAAAGCAGAACGATATAATGATCACCTGTTTTCAACAATTGTCAGTTCATGGCTTGTCTGCCTTGAAGCAAATCTCAGACAGCATGTAATTCTATCTGTATACATTATGCTTTCACCTGTATCTCTAAAAGATAAGGAACCTTTTTTAATGTACCCGAAATGTCATTGTCATTCTTCAAAAAAACACACAACCAATTCTTTGTCAGATATCAAGTACATGTTCACGTTTCCCCAGTTTTCCCATAATTTTTTGTTTTTGACATTGCATTGAGTCTGTATCTCCTGTATCTGCATGCGGAGCCTTGGCTCGTGTGTCAACCGGAGTCATCTAGGTAAGCTGAAACGGTGTAGCGGTGTGTTCAGGTTTGCGTTCTGCACTTTCAATGTTGTCTAGAAACGTAAATTCAGAGATCTGGGTATTCAAGAGCTAGAACCTCAAGAAGGAATAATTTCCTATTAGGCAGCCTTACGGTGAGCCTCTGTTTCAGAGGCTTCTCTGAGCCGTGAACTGAGCAAGACAGCATAGAACTGCTAACCACACTTCTGCTGTTAGTGGCTGCCCAGCCAGGGGTGGTCCAGCGACCCATCGTCTTCTCTCTTTTTCCTCAGGAGCCAATGAGGTGCTTCTGGTGGTTGGGGGCTTCGGAAGCCAGCAGTCTCCCATTGACGTGGTAGAGAAATACGACCCCAAGACTCAAGAGTGGAGCTTTTTGCCAGTAAGTAGCGGGAGCCAGTCATGGGGAAAGAGCTGCTTCCCTGTCCTCAGCCCCTGACTCTGGATTTTAACTAATCCAGCCCCAAAATGGAAAAGCCTAGTAACCTCATGATGTTTTTTATTACAGTGCCATGCACACAGTAGGTGCTAATAAATAGTTACTTAGGTTAGAAGATTAGACTTCAAACACTAGTGGCCATGTGTCAGATTAAACTCAGCTGGTCACCACTGTTCAGCATGTCCCTGGGCTGTCTGTCACTCCCAGCGTGCTCCGTTGGTCATGCCCTTTTAGACTGAACTCAGTGTTAAATGTGTTCAGCTGAACTCAGAAGTTGGCATCTTTCTTCCTTTGTGTGTCTGTTTCAGTGGTGAATGAACAGTAATAATTCTGAGAAAACATGGAAGTCAGTCCTCTTGATTTTCGGAGTCTTTGGTTAGCAGTGCAGGAAAAGTTTTCCACTTTATGGAAGGATATCAATCTTTATGGAAGGCTATCAATCCAGTGCCGTATGGCATAGAAAGGAATCAAAGAGGCCGTGTGCAGAAAGCTTGTATGTTTAAGGGAGTCACAGCAAGCACAAGGTGTTCGTGCAGTAGGCGGACAGCTGGAGGCCACTCGAGCTTGGAGCAGTGCCTGAAGAGTGGGTGGGTGAGAACGGACTTGGCCAGAGGTGAGGCCTGCGGCTTGCATGGCTGAACTGCTTTGCACCTCGTCTCGCAAATCCACAGAGCATCACTCGGAAGAGACGCTACGTGGCCTCGGTCTCCTTACATGACCGAATCTATGTCATCGGCGGCTATGATGGCCGCTCCCGCCTCAGTTCTGTGGAATGTCTCGACTACACGGCCGACGAGGACGGGGTCTGGTACTCCGTGGCCCCGATGAATGTCCGGCGAGGCCTTGCCGGGGCCACCACCCTGGGAGGTAGGCCACGCTGCCACGACTGGGGCGGGCTCGCGCCTCCTTGTCGTCCGGCGGGAGCATGAAATGCGGAGGGTTCCGGTAAGGGCAGGCACTCCTCTTGGCTGTCGGACATGGCAGCCCGGTGTCCCTGGGTTTCAGCACCGACAGCACGTGGGAATCGGGGTGCCACGTGCTGAGTGGGGAGGCAGCACTCATGCTTTCACAAACTGCAGCCAGTCTGAGCTCTCCTGAGGGTGCCATCCGACCCCATTGTTCTGGGTGTCTCGACTGCGCTGGCTCCACGTCGGTAAGACCTTAATTACCTGTCAGAAACACTTGATTTTCGCTCCTTGACGTGAGAAAGACTTGTAGGGGTTGTGCAGAAAAGATGGACCAGATGCTTTTCCTCTAACAGTCTGGGCCTTGTTCTTCCTGAGCAGATATGATCTATGTCTCCGGGGGCTTTGACGGGAGCAGGCGTCACACCAGTATGGAGCGATATGACCCCAACATTGACCAGTGGAGCATGCTGGGAGACATGCAGACTGCCCGGGAGGGCGCCGGGCTGGTGGTGGCCAGCGGAGTGATCTACTGTCTAGGTGTTTAGCCTGGGCAGCAGGGAGGGAGAGGACTGGATGGGTGGCAGCCTCTGGGGTCCCTCTTTACCAGACTGTGTCCCGGACTTCTTCAGCTGAGCCTGGTCTGTCCCGACATCATTCCGTGATCTGGGATTCTCTCTTCCGTGGGAGCGGGAAATAGGGTTCTGTCAGGTTTCTCTGGGTCATTGGAACTCTCGAGGGAGAACTAAGACTAGAAGAACTGGCTGGCGCACTCAGGAAGGCGGGCTGGGAACAGGCACGGGTTTGTCATTGTTTATGGACTGGCCTCTGCTCTGTTTTTTAGGAGGATATGATGGCTTGAATATCTTAAATTCAGTTGAGAAATATGATCCGCATACCGGACACTGGACTAATGTCACGCCAATGGCCACCAAGCGCTCCGGTAAGACCCGTCAGGTCTAAGGGAGGGGACGGCAGTGCTGTTGCATCTTTACACGCGTAGCGTGGTACTGTCCCGGGACAGGGCTCAGTCAGTCCTATGTTCCCACCTCCCTATAGACTTAGGAAAAACCCGAGGCAGGTTCCATTCCCCTTTTTGTCTCTCTTTTCTTTAAGTATCGTGAGGACAAGCACACCTCAGATGACGCACCGGAGGGCGGAGCCTTGTTTTGTTCATTTCGTCTGTCCCTTTCCTACCCCCGTGTTCTGTAATATTTGCTGCGTGTTAGATGATGGGTGTTGGACGGACCGACGTACAGCACAGGACAGCTGGGCAGCTGCCGACCCTGAGAGCTGTTGGCGCGGAGCAGGCTGGGCTGCAGGAACGGGGACCGCCCTGTGCTTTTCACGCTCTGGGTGGCAGTCCCCAGAGTCGTCGTCACAGCTCCTTCTTTCCACTCCCTTCTTCCTGCTAGTGAGCAGCTGTGCTCTGAATTCATCTGACGAACAACTTCCCCACTCTTCAGCTCCCAGCTCGAGGGTCTGCAGATGGCTCTCCTGTGCTGGCGTCCGACCTTGTCTGGCTCTCGTCCATGTCCCTCAGCCGCCCAAGGGTTTCACTAGCCACTGGCGACCATGTTTGTTTCCAGAAATCAGAGTCTCCGTTGCGTAGTGTTAACCTGCTGCATCCGTTTCGCAGGTGCCGGCGTGGCCCTGCTGGACGACCGTATTTACGTGCTGGGAGGATTCGACGGCACGGCCCACCTGTCTTCCGTGGAGGCGTACAACGTCCGCACCGACTCCTGGACACCTGTCACCTGCATGACCACCCCGCGGTGTTACGTGGGGGCCACGGTGCTCCGGGGCAGGCTGTACGCAGTTGCGGGGTGAGAATTTAAACTGGGCTGGAGCCGTCGTGCACTGGGGCAGTGTGGTGCATGCCACGTTGTGGCCGGACACGGTGTGGGTCAGGGACACGTCTCTGGGGGCAGCCGCACCGTGGGGCGCGTGTGCAGAGGAACAGGCACTCACCCCCTTCTTCTTCCTCCCCATCAGGTACGACGGCAACTCCCTGCTGAGCAGCATCGAGTGCTACGACCCTATCATCGACAGCTGGGAAGTGGTGACATCCATGGGGACCCAGCGCTGTGACGCTGGCGTGTGTGTGCTCCGAGAGAAGTGACTGTGGTTGGAGCACCATCCAGAGCTAGTGACCAGTCCAAGGGACAATTTGTGGGAGAATCAAGGATCCTCTCCGGAATGTCTGTTTCTCGCTGGGCACAGGATGATGAAAGCAGCAGTGCGAAGGTGATGGTGCTCACGTGACACACGCTCTATGCGCTGGCGTTGTCCCCTGGGAGGGGGGGCACAGACACTCGAGGGAAGAGAATGCACACTGAATGGGTGTGAGAGGTCGGGTCACCTCTCCTCCTGGTCTAGGGGCACTTCCTTGTTGTTTCCACCCTGCCGTGCGCTTAGGAGGACATGTGTGCATGTTTGTGTGATGTGCCTCGTATGCCGCAGGGGTTAAGGTGAGTGTGACCACCAGATGTGGGCGGTGTCCAGCCTGCGTCAGAATTTCAAGGTACCAGCTTGAGTGAGCTTCGTTCTCCAGGAATAAATCTCTTTCCTAGTCTACAGGTAGCTAGGGGCAGTGTACTTCCATTCCGGAGGAAAACAAAGGGAAGAGCTCATCACAGCTTGGGGGCAGGGGACAGCCCCAGCGCCCCGTGGGCTCGGGGTTGGTGTATCAGAGCTGGGTTCCGGGTAAGTGCAGTGACCTGAATTTGATGGAGTGCGAGTGAACTGAGACCATCCCTGAAGAATAACCGGGAGGACAGAGAAGGGTGTGTGATGATTTCAGGGACCTTTTTATCTCCCGTGGGCCTCCTGAATTACAGTTCCTTCCCGGGCCGCGGGGAAGTGCGCAGAGGGCAGCAGCATGAACAGTGTCGGCATGGCTGGAGGTGGAATAAATGTGAGAGATCAGCGTGCCTGGGGACAGACTCCAAGTACCTGCGACTTTGTGATTGTCTCACTCCGTGCCAGGACTCACCTATCCGTGCCAAGGTCTGCCTTGAGTGAGTGAGCAACTGTCTGCTGAGTCAGATACTGCTACGCTCTTC